CGAAAATCTCTCACTCCCACCAACATGCAAGCGCAGCATTTCGATTTTTCCGCACCACACAGCTCTGAGCCGACAACACCAACACCACATCTAGTCGCGACGCAAGAGACGCCACGTACGCCGCTTTCAGAACGCGCATTGCGTTTACAGAAAGCGAAGGAAGAGTTTCTGCAAGGTAATGGTGCTGCAGCGCAACCTGATGTGAAACGACGCGATGACATCGTGCGCAGCGAAACATGGGAGCAACATCGGCGCAGCGACTACAGCATCTCGTCGGCGGCGGGTGATGAGGCCAATTTGCCGAAAAGCTTCAGCGTTAGCACGTTTACAGGTGATTCGTACACCGAAACACCGACACACTCGGACACCGGTACAGATGCAGACATTAGCCTCTACGACTCGCTGCCACGTTCAGTAAGCCGTTCGGGTAAAATAACCAGCAAACTGGGTTTCGCAACGCTTGCATCGAAATTCCGCCGAGGCAAGGGTAGCAAAAAAGGCAAAGATGCTGCAAAGGAGTCAGAGGCGTCAAGAAGTAGTGGCCGAGCATTGTCGGCATTGTGTCGCCAAACACTGTTGACGGATGTGATTGCCGTTCCGCAACTTGCAGCGGAGAATCTACACGAAAGTGTGCAGAAGTCACAGTCGTCGCCGCAAGCGGGCAGAGGTTTTGCTGGCAGTCAGAGCGCCACTGTTTTCGGCGGGGTGTTGGGTCAACGACCGATGGAGCCTTTAAATAAATCGCAAAGTGAGCAATATGTCCGGCGCCATAAAGAGAGCATTGTCTAACTAGTCTAGTCACAGTGTAACAAATGTGCCATAAAAATGTCCTTGATTTATTTTTTTTTAACCGTTTATACATTTAATTTTATTTTTGTATGTAAACAACGATTGTATTGAGATTATTTGGAGATTCTTATTTTTGCTATACATATTAACCGGCGTGCCCGACGGGTAGAACCGCAGATGTGTAGGAAAGTTGTAATATAGAGATTTTTATATGAATGTACATATATTTATGTATGTATATGTGTTACAAATTGCGTTTCTTTTTTTTTCATATTTAGTTTGAAATTGCGTTTGAAATGTACACCAAAGTTGAGAGTGGGTTTGGTCGTATGGTCGACGCAAAACTATATCAGTGACTTTAAAACGGTTGTGGGCGTGGGCTTTCCCGCGGGCAAAGCTCTGTCAAGCTTTCTATATTAAATGTATACAAAGCTTGTAAGAGCTTTGCCCACGGGCAGGCCGATGCCCACCACCGCTTTAAAATCATATCGCGCGAGAGCTTTTTAAAATCTCCTATATATCCGTCGCTATGGACCTACGTCAGCGGCGACCATGTCCCATTAAAAAGCTATATTTTAGTCGCGACCGACTTGCACACATCGATTGCTTGCTAAGATTCGTACTTTAGACAATCTCAGTAGATACAGTGATAATGTCAGCCTTGAAATCCAACGGAGAATCACTCTTGCCCACAAGTGCTTGAACATCCATGCCTCCTCAGTGTTTCTACATACGCGGTTATAGCGTCAATCAACAAGAAGAAAAATACAATTTTAGCGATGGCGCTCATTTCTTGCTCAAGATGTTTCTGCGGCAATAAGGCGCCTCTAAGAGACATTTCTATTTAGAATCACACCCAAAGTTGCCACTGACGAAAAAAAATACTTACCATTCACTTGAAAAAAATGTACCAAATCTGGATTTGAGACTAAGTTGCGATAACCCTGCATAAGCTCATACATACATATGTATGTACAGTAGGGCTGGTCGAAAAAAACAAAATGTTTGATACGAAAATTGTATAGGTCTTAAAAGGTATTATTTTAATACCTTATTCTAGAAAATAAATATTGGCTCTCTGCGTCCATATCCTCAGTCTGCGGAATGAGCTTGAAAATTTGAGTGGGAATACCAATTTTTCAAATTTTAACAACGACTTGTGTAGATCAAATCCGGAACTTATTTAATAAATTAAGTAGGAAAGAAAGATTAATTGATTAAAATATGGATCAATATTGAAGACTGAAGATATTGTCGCGAAGAAACAGGACTTCTTTTCTAGAATAAGGGATTAAAATAATACCTCTTAAGACCTATACAATTTTCGTATCAAACATTTTGTGTTTTTCGACCCGCCCTAATGTACATACATACAGCTATTTCAAGTATTTATATATTGTGACAAGTATGTATATAATGCAAGTATTTAATAAATGATCATACCATTCGTAACTCTCCCCTTCGACCTTACATCTTTCACTTCGGTGCATTTCTTCCGTTTGCCTATTCATTGCTCGCCTTCTGCGGGTGCCTAAATGTAGGCCAGCGAAAAGCATTAAATGTATCGGCGGTCGGATTAAGTGTATATCAATGCATTGTGTTCACCCTGTGTATAACAACAAAGCGAAATTTGCTTACACTGAATCAATCTGTGGTGTTATTGAATGATCTACAGTAGCGTGGGTCGAAAATCCGCTGTTTTAGAATTTTGATTGGTAATAGCGAAAATATGGTTCATTTGCTCTCTTATATATTGTGGTTATTATGTGTGAAAGATGACAATTTTTGGTCACTATCTTAGGCTCGCCCAAGTCCATGAAAATTCAATGTGCTCAAAAAATAAAAATTAATACATTTTTTTTACTAAAATTGCAAGTATCTACAAAATTATAATTTGGTATATGGACCATTTTTGTGGAGAATCGAAGTAAGCTAAGAAAAAATTTGTTTACCACTTGAACTTTGATGGACTTGGGTGAACCTAAGATATTGACCAAAAATTGTCATCTTTCACACAGATTGTTTTTAGAGCATAATGAACAATATTTTTGCTATTGCCAATCAAAATTCTAATACAGCGGATTTTCGGCCCATGCTAATCTACAATAGGCGTGTTGTATTTGACGCCAAATTTAAGCTATTAGCTTATTTTGTATGGAAGACTTTGCCAATATAGTTATGTTGGCTAAGTCTTCCATACAAAATAAGCTATTAGCTTAATTTTATCGTCAAATAAAACACGCCTATTGTTGGCCAATGAAAAGAGATGTTAGAAATTTATAAAAGTCCGTTTATACATCACACGCACAAGGAATTTTTTGATGACCGTGCTACTATCAGAACTTGTTGTTTATTTGCCAGAGTTCTTCAGTGATTCGGTTCGGTTAGTGAGTATAAAAAGTGGCGACCTTCAAGGGCGCTTGCCGCTTTTAAAACTATTCTTTGGGGGTCCCTACATTAATCTCGCAAACAAAAAGCTTCCGAAATCATCCTTCAACAAGCCCTACACGGTAATAAATGCTTCAAGGGACACTTGCAAAGAGTTCTGGTATACTGTTGGGTGCATGTTCGCGGATGTCAATGCTGGCCCCGGTTTCAGACAGCATTACAAGCCCTGGACTCTTTCAAAACTGCATATATGCTTTTGAACAACTACGAAACTCTATTGAGTAAAAAAAACACCTAACTAACTTTTGTAAGTACCGCGGCATGAGAGTTTTAATGGCAACGAAAGAGCTAACGCTCTCACAAAACGTGGGTACCAGCAGAGCTTAAATAGTCCACAGCTGTTTCATGGTCCGTCAACATGATACACAGCAGATCTCCTAAAAAAGGCAATAAAATAAATGTATAACATCCTCAGAGGAACCTAGGAACGACTCCTGAATTTTATTTGAGAGAGTATAAGACCTTTCACAGGCTACCTGCCAGAACTTCAGGTTCTGTGGCTGAAACATTTTATGCGGTGGCCCATGTATCATAGGTCAAAGGCTCTTATACTTCAGGGAGCAGGTAAAATATTTTTATATATTTTCTCTACCAAGTATTGGCACTTTTTTCAACCCTGAGTCCTGCTGATGAGGAAGTTTTTGACTTCCGTATTGCATCTATTTCAATTGTTTATTTACTAAAACTAGATCACCCTTGTCAACCTAAGCCAACCTTAAGCCCTAAATGGGACGCTCGTAAGCCATAACCACTATGATTAGTAAAGTATCACAAGTCTGGTACCCTGATGGATCCAAACACTGGGGCCGGCGTATTTGGACCTATATTTCAAAATAGTGGACTGGGCTTATATCTAACCATATTCCCGGCGGAAATTCTCGTAGTGAAAATTTATGCCCGCGAATGTCTTCGTGGAAAGACTAACGGGGCCACAATAAACATCATGCCTGAAGCCAAAGCAGCATTAAGGGTCTTAGACTCACGTAAAATGGTGTCAAGGCTAGTAGACAATTGCAAAAGTGTAACAGGATTTCCTTGTGGTGGGTCATGAGGGCTTTAATGGAAACGAAGGTGCTGACACATGACATGGTCCTCAACCTTTATGTGGTTTATCAAAGCACTACACGGCAGAGCTTCTAAGAAGATGGTATGCCTATCAGGTTGCATTCCATTGACGTGGATATATCAAAAAGCAAATGACGTTCCGCGAGACTTATCACTTCCTCTCGTAGAGTCTCTGAATGACTGTTTCACCTTAGACGGGAGAGTTTAAAAATTTTTGCTGGATATCAGACAGGACCCTGCAAGCGAAAATACCACCCTCTGTAGACTGGCTACAGCAAAGTGGCCCTAAATTTGTATAACTTGCAGAGCGATAATTCTTATGCATCCAGAATCTGGAACATGGCACCCTTCAAAGTGCGAAACTTCATAGAGGGCCAAGGTTTTATTGGCTCCTTAAGGGTTACAATAGATATACATAATTAGGTTGCTGCGCTAGTATGCTGTAATAACTACAACTTCCAATGAAGGCAAAAATTGGCTCAATGTATATCTTCGTATTTCAATTTCTTTCAACATATGACACTGAGACAGTTAGTCGGAATAATGATCTATGAAAATTACGAAATCGGAGCGAATTACCCAGTAGGTATCACTTGGCGCAGTATTTCCTCAGGGCCCCTTCAATTTGTGACACCTTTAACGGTATATTGTGCACTTCACTTACATTTCATATGTAGATTTAATCAGGTACATATCAATTAAAGAAATAAAATGTCTTCACTTTTATTTATACAATCAAGTACTTATTTATATTCATAATTTATGAGCCGCCACGCGCAATACAATTACTGATATCAGCATAAACTCTCTCAAATTGTTGGCGCAATTCATCGAAGTCACCGCAACTGTCACCTACATCATCTACATCATCTCCATCGAGCATCACAGCGGCGATTTCATCGAAAAAATTTTGTGATGCTTCAAAGAGTCGCTGATTAAGCGCACCAATCCGTCCAACAACACACATTGCTATGCCCACCTGATCGATGTTACTATTATGCCGTTTCAGCGCAGCCACATTGCAAGCGCCAACCACATTGCGAGCTTCCGCTGCAGCGCTTCGTATAAAATGGATCTCACTATTAGCCTCATTCTTCAAAGCAGTCAAACTAACCTCCAACATACGCTTACAGCTACGTCGCTTCTCCAGAAGTTCACGGTCGAAAGTTGCAATGGCGAGCTCGTGCTGATGGTAGCAGTGTTTGTGGGCTTCAGTCGGACGCGAATTGGCAAGCATGGCGTGAAGACGTTCTCCAATCAAGTGTTCGTATTCGGTGATTAGCGACTGCATCTCATGCATGGCGCTGACAGATTCGTTAAGCTGATACTCGGTTTCGTTGAAGGTCAGCTCTGCTTGAAATTCGGCGTCTGCGATTAGAAGCTTCACGCCTTCGTAGAGCGGGCCATAGCGCTGAGTTGATAGCCAGGGGCTGTAAGGCAGCGCCTGTGCTGGTAGCTGAAATCGGAAGTTAATGGAAGGCGGAATAAATTGAGAAATAAACTCACAAGCAGGATTGCACTAAAGTGGTAGAATAGAAAAATCATGATCAGCTTCATGGTGTACACCAACACGCAGCTCTTTCGTTTGTGGTTGGTTCGTTGTCTTTCGAAAATCTACAATGTTTGATATGATTTTTGGACTTTACGAAATTTATTTTGCAATCAGTTAATTTCGTTAAAGTGGTTCAGTTAATTTCGTGGAATTTAATTAAGCAAATTGAAAAGATATCACCAACATTTTGGCAATGGAAAAGATAAAAAAATTACATTAGTAATGCTCGTAATTTTTTTTAGAAGATCCCTTATCAGCCATGCGATGTTGCCTAAAGGGCGGCAGCAGTCTTTGAACTAAGCAATGCTCTTCCATGCTCATTGTCTCTTTGGGATTTATACGGAACGGTTGAAATGCAATACTTTCGGCTACTAATTTCAATTCTTACCATTTTGGCTGTGAAGGTGATAAATATTTTAAAGAACCGCAGTCAAATTGGCTTACTATATTTTTGCATTAATATTTCTTTCAGCAGTCCAAGGCCAACGATACTGTTCAAGAACCATTATTCCCAACCGACGATGAATCAGCTATTAACAGCGCCAATGGTCCTGTCAGCACTGCCATGGAATCTCTGGCGTACAACACCGCTTCCATAGCTGATGAAATCTCATTCCAAGTTAGCACCAAACTTGAACGAACAGCGGATATCCTCCACGGAGGCATCGAGTTGCTCATCGCCAATGCACTGGAGCAGCTGGCACAACCGATCTATCAAGCGTCACGTAAGCTAGGCAACGATAGCTGCAACGCTACGTTTACCGCGGAGGACCTGCGTTCGACCATCGATACGCGCCTAAGCATTTGCACTGAGGAGCTCAACGGTTTGATGCAGACATACAAATCAGAGGCCGATAACAGCGTTTCTGCAATAGATAATTTCGTTATTACAATTAATAGACTGCCCGACGATTGCCAAGGTGAATCGTGGCCTGAACAAGGCCTGCAATCTTTTGCAACAGCCACGAGATGCTTTATCGAAGGTATTACAGCCTTAAATGCGCAAATTTCGCAGGAACTAAATACCGTTAGTTTATTGTTGTCGCGCACACGTCAACTTTCGCAGCAAAGCGAGACACAAGCGCTCGTTTGTATTGAAAAATTGGTAAATGAGATTGTGAAGCTCGTTGATGAAAAGCTGAAGGATTGTTAAGAAAACCTTATTGAGGTAAAGCAATTTCTAGCCGCTGTACGTTGCTTTTGGCATTAAATTTCGAAAGATTTGTGTAAGAAAATTATAATTACTTTTTCGAAACTCGGGGAATCGTATTATTTCTGGTTGGAATTTCAGGCGCAGTGGCTTAATACAAAGAAGCAGCGCATGTCTCAGGGGGTAGGGGAAAGATTTGATTGACTTATCGATCAGCATTGACTTAATCGATCTGTGGGATTTGTTAGTTCTGACTCTACTAGAAAATTTACAATCTTATACTTTTAATGGTATCAGATTTGGAGTACGTGTATGGATAATTCGTTGTTAATTATTAGAATCATTTCGACTATAGACCCGGACACAAAAAAAAAGTAGTGGTGGATTAATTTCTTCTCCGAGCTCCGTCCCGGCCCAGGTGTCACTCACTGCGTTCTCACCGTACAATTCTCTAGTTTTTCGGCATATTTTTGCAACGTTAAAAAATATAGAAGTAATAATTGAAAACAAAAACTAAATGAAAATTCTACTTACGGGGGGAATCGAACCCACGACCTTGCTACTCGTTAATCCGCATTACTGCCGCCTGTCAATGCACAATTTTGATCAGATCCACTGCGTCATTAATCCGGATAAGACGTTGCCGTGTCTCTATGCTTTTACAGTCAATTTGTTTCCCCAAGCTCGCTGTAAATTTATCATTCGGCTTGACCAAACGAAAGATTTTGCCATTCCTCACCGTACAATCATGGCTCGTGATCTTTGATATACGCATACGGATTATCGTAATATTGTTTTAAAACTCGCCGAAAAGCCCAAGGGTATTTCGACCAAACAAATTAATTCTATTCTCCAAGCTCATAATCAGCGTTTTTTCCTCCACCAAACGAGCCATCCTTAACAACCTAGAGTATTCGATCAAACCAGGTATTATTCGCAACCGAGAATCTAGCGCCCTCAACATATGGTCGCAATTTCTAAGACGCTCAGAGGACCGCCAAACACTTCAACACCATCGTAGATCTAAGACCTACTAAACTAAGCTATAGCCTCTTCACATTCCTCAAAACTTGTGGCAACTAATCTCAAATGGGCACTGAAAGTAAGACGCCTCTCTCGTACCACTTCTAATTATTTAATCGTTTCTTCGGGATGATATGTTCGTCAGTTTTCAGCGCTACCTCCTCTAACTTCTTACGACATGAGAAGAGTATTGCTTGTGTTTTTTGCTCGGCTAGCTTGAACCCGCCGACTGATGGGTCTACCTTTTTGGGTTATAACTTCAAGCTGTTTCGCAGACATTACTGCCGCAATGTCCTCTGCAAAGCCTAATAGGCTAATCGCCTGATCCCTGGGGTAATTCGGTGCGATGAACTCCATCACACATTGTTCCATAACAAGGGACCGTTTCGTATCGCAGGACTCGCAAATGGAAATAGATTCGTATTAATCTTCGAAGGTAGTATGAAATTCCAATACTCTCTAGTCTATCAATAGCCCAATATACATACATACATGTACATATGCGCATGTACATGTGTTAGTGCATGCCCTTAAGTGCTATCAAAATTATCCTTAACAAATAATATTATTTTTTTCTCGCATAATCGTTGTTTTTTTTTTTTAATTTCATTCGTCTTCTGCTCGACTAATTCATTTTACCTAAATTCGAGTATTTGTGTGACCATCTGACGCACACGCGCCTGCGCCTGCGCCTTCGTAGTGCACGTGTTCAAGATCGAACTAAAGGACATTGATGTAAGTGTAGATGCATTCAAGCAGCCAAATACTTGTAAAACATTTTCAAGCGTGCATGTAGTAGATTTGGATGAATGCGCATATATATGTAAATATGTATGTCTTGGGGTATGGCTTTTGGATCGCTCATGTATGGAGCATAACGAAGCGTATCCTTACCTAACACCTCGCCAGTAACCACCATTGTTAATTTATGCTCTTAAGACAGAGCGCATGTCCTGTGCATGTGCGTACCCTTTGTATGTACGAAAGCGAACCAAAGTGCGCCATCGTTGGGGGGGGGGGGGCAACTAATTCAACTCTTTTTTAATGCGCGCCATACGTTCATTAATTTTTTGCTTATTTCCTACTTTTTTCTCTATTTTGTATTTTTTTGTTTGTTTTTTGATCAAACAAACAGTTAGCCAAATGTAGATAGTACTTAGTTCGTTGTATAAAAAGTATACTTTTTTCTTGTTGTAATTTTTAATGCGCCTTTAAGAGGCTTCCCCCAATGTTGTTACGGTAATTATTAGGACGCGCCTTTTGCTCTGCTGCTCGAAAGTTTTTTCAACTATATTTGTTTTTTTTTTTGTTTGCCTTGCTTCAATCTCCTCATGGCTTTGATCCTTTTTCCTCCATCATTGCCACCAAAAAATGATCGGAAGCAGCCAAAAGTAGTGACAGCAGCAGCCAACAGTAACAACAGCAACACGCCAACCAAGCAATGCTTCCTGCTCGTGCGCACGCAGCTACGAAGGAAACGAGTGCACCAACGTACCCATATAAAGGATATCCAATTTTCGTAAGTCAAAGTGGCAACAGATGACGGCGCGCGCGCCTTCGTTGTGCCGCAAAAATGCAAACAGATATATACATTAATATCGACATTAGGGTGCCTCTTATTTTTACAAATTACTAATTTTAATATTATATCTTGCGCACTATGCAATTTTTATATTTCATTGGTTTAGCCTAACGAAGTGATATTGGAATAAAAGAAATTATAACTTTGTACGAAAGTGGCAGTTTTATATCAAAAATAAAAGCAACAAAAATCTGAAGAATTTTATTAAAATAAAACTGATTGAGATTATTGTTTTCTTAGGGCCGTTTTCAACATCTTTGGTTGAGGTTAATCCCTAGTTAACCACCATTGCCGACGTTACCGACACAGAGTTGGTGAAAATGGCCCTCACGCCATTTACGCCGAATTTTTGAGGGCTCACACATAACGTTATTAAAAATATTTGGAAAAAATTTCGGAATCATATATTTTTCGGTGCACTTTTATAGCGTTTTAAGAGGCTTTTGAGGTTAGGTTATGTAATTTTTAGTTTTTTTTTTGTGTCCAGAAATTTGAGGCTCTACGCCGATTCCTTCTGTTTTTTCCAAAAAACAAATGGAGCTGTACCACTGTGCGGGACACTGATCATTCTTTCCTTTTGATTAACTTAAATAACCTGAAAAATTTCGAGTGCGAGGAACGACTCTGGACGGCAAAGGATGTTTCGGAATGTAACGCGGACAGTAATGCTGACTACTACCTGCAAAAACGGTTAAATTAAAATCTGTAAATTAAATCAAATACTTTAAACTTGTTTTAATGTTATTTATTTTCTAGCAAATACACCTGAAAGAACAGATTTCAATATTTATGTACATATGTCAGTTTGAGTTGCTCTTTGAACAAAAGTATCTCAAGGCAGTAGGCACAAGGTATAAATCGGGTTTCATTATGCGATGGGCCAACCTCTCTATCTCTCTTATGGAATCGGCAAATACGTTAAGATTAGATTCCACACTGCTAAAGTCAGAAAATACCTATACCAAAATCGTGAAACTTCGAGTCTCTTGAGGGAGGGACGTTCATCCTACAGATTTGAAACTTCGCCGAAAAGAAGAAAAATTTTGTGCCGAAGCGTTATTTTGTACTCTGCGTTTTAAGGAACACCCTAACATGCATACATTTATGTAAATACATATGTATATATGTGCCCGCACTATTATACGATTTGAGATCCTTGCGGCCGTACGTCCAACCAACCATCAAACTGGCATGGCATATGTTGCACTTTGGCTAAACCCAATTCATCTCCACTGCTTCTCCGCAGCTCAAACCATCATCAATAAAAAGTACCAGCAACAATACATAATACATATGTACATGGCTCAATAGCTACATACATATGTATGTATCTAATCCACACATTCACTGGAACTTCATCGGGGATCCTAAATGAGGCATACATTGTTGCTACACCGTCAACAGTTGGCCCAAAAGTGTGGCCTCACCAAGGTAGGAGCATGTAAGCAATACATATACATACATACATACATATGTAAATAGATATGTACGTATCTTTCTATATAGCCAAAGACGCTCCAAGTCGCACACATCACAGAATTTCTTAAAAAATTTTTTTTTCTTTTTTTCTTGTCTATTTTAAGCTTTTTGACTTAATTGAGTTGCCAAATCGGTAGCTACACTTGCTGTTTTCGTGTATCGCTCACACGCACACACACACACACACACACACACACTCAACGCCATTTATGCTATTGTCAATTAAAAGGACATCAATCACAACTTTGCGCCACAGTTTCGGACGAAAGTTATAAGAAACCTCCAATGTGGGCTAAGTGAAGTGCATTTTTCGGCACGTGATATCTTCCGGCAACTATTAAGATTTCACTGTTCTTCTCCAACCAGACACCAACAAAAATGTGTCTCCAGTCAGCTTAAAACGTAATGGATTTTAAAATAAATACTCATTCGAAATCATTCAATTTGGTCACTATATATTCGTAAGTATAATTTAGCTACGTAAATTTTTACGTTTGCTTTGGGCCAGAACTTTATTGTAGCACCAATTAAATGGTATGGGTCTGCAGCGGCATGCACGATGTGCGTATTATTAAAATTGTATTAAGTAAATATCCAACGGATCTTCGTGGAAACGGTTATTGATTTTGCACGCAATGACGTTTTGGACTTTCTTTCTTCGTTTTATGCTTTCTGGAAAGAAAAAAAAAATCGTAAACTAAGACCACACAGAAAAAAGTATGATAGACATTGTTCAGAGAATGGAATCCGACTTTTAGAACACAACTCCAAACTGGCCTAGATATTGCCATTCTTCGGATTTGGCGATTTTCTTCTTAACCAAGTAGAGCAAAATGCTGAAGCAATAAATAGATACTAGTTATTGCATTTAGCAAACGAATAGTTCAGAACGCATAGGGCTTCGGCAAGCCTTACAGGTAATTCCAACAGGCAAATTGAGCGGCCCTAAATCCAATTGCCGCGTT